AGAGAGAAAGAGAGAGAGAGAGAGAGAGAGAGAGAGAGATTGCCGTTTATCGGGCGGGCCTAGAGGCGATTTCTTATTCTTTTTGCGGCGACGGACTAATAATAAAATTCGGCTGAATACGACGTCGTTGCCGGCCTGATCGCAGATAAGCCCCGCGGAGTGTCAATCGCAAAAAAAGCGAGGCGTCGAGCGCTCAAGTGCCTCCTCCCAAAAACAGAGCGGATCGAAAACATGTAACGAGCGTCGTCTCCGTGACTCGCCCAACCCTGCCGAGATGCCCGACGACCGATAAACTCCAGGAGCTTTTACGCCGAATCAGCTCGAATAAGCCAAGGCTTACCGAGCGCATGCATCTTCGTTCTCGTAACCTCGCTTTTTATCTCTCAGGCGCGGGCATCCCCACGTGTCTTCAATCAGGGTCGTCGGCGGCGGCTCTCGATTTCCGCTGCGCCTTATTACATCCTCCTCCTCTTCTCCCCCCCCCCCCCCCCCCCCCCCCCCCCCCCCCCCTCCTCCCCTTCTTACAGACAGTCCGCAATCAGATAAATCAGACGCTCCGCTCGTTAGTCGGAGATCGCGATATCGCGTCGCTACGGAGGAGGTTACTTCGCTCCTAAAGCGGCGCTTCGTTTCCCTCGGCCTCCCTCTATGGGTAGAGAGCGGGAGGAAGGGAGGGAGGGAGGAAGGAGAGTTGCCGATCGAGCCTAGCGTTAACGACGTAAATGGCTAGGCCAAAAACCGTGTGTAATACGCACTTTACCGCGCCAGCGGATCCTCGACCTTTTGAGGGGGGGGGGGAGCGCCCCCTGCCTGTCTCCTGCTAGGGATCGAAGTCATATGGGGCGTTGGTTGATAAGGGCCGAGGGGCGATGAGTCAGCCACGAGATCCTCACAAATTCCTATGCAAATACGATCTTCCGGGCGGGCCTCGTTATTAGTGTGGCTATAAAGCCAAGAGCCGATTACCTTGGCTGATGGCCAGATACGGGAAAACAAATCCACCTGACCCTCACAAGGCAGGTATTGTTGTTACGACTACGGTGAAAGCTCCGCGGCTCTGTTTGCGCGCTTATCAGGGGTGGCCAGCAGCAGCTGTTGCAGCAGCACGCGCCAAGGACGAATGGCGAGGTGGGGTGTGTGGTTTGGTGAGGAGGAGGTGTGAGGGATGGGGGGCTCTGGAAGACTTGGGTCTCATTCCTACCTCTCCCTCTTCGACTCGTGGCTGGATCGCGCGTTCCTTGGTTGATAGAGGCTCGAGGTAAACGCCGCCGCTACCACCTGGAGAATCTCCACTGTTTTTACAAGGTTTTCACTATAATGGGGCTTTTACGACTTGGCGGACCCGCTGCTTTGCTCGACCTTTGTTCCTTCAATTGCTCCTACGACGTATTCCCGTGGTTTCGGCTGCTCGGAAAATGGGCCAAATAACGCCCTCTTCCCTCGTGACTTCCCGACATCTCACCATACCACCACCACCACCACCACCACAACCCCCCCCCCCCCCCGCCACTTCCACCACCCCTTCGCGCCTTATCATTCGCTCGCTTCCTCATGAACGCAGCCCGCGTTATCCAACTCTTGTACAAAGCCGATTCCACGAGCGACCGTTCAACGATGAACGATTTTGATCCAACCGAGCGGACCAACGTTGAAAATACCGTGAAAATACCGTATGTAGAATAAATGTTGAGTTTTCCTTTAATACATCTTGATGCCAGAGAGGGCAAACAATGGCTACAAAGCCCTGCTCTGCTTCCACGATCCCCGCGTGCCACTAGAGAGCTGAAGAGAAAGAAGAAAATGGGCTTAACGAATTGCGAGTGATTTACGACTGCTGTACGTTCTGCCGCCCTACCACACAACCAACCAAACGCGCGCATTCGCCGCCACGTGCGAGCCACAAACTCGTTAAAGCCGCGCGACAGTGGTGTGGCATTTCTTCCTCCTCGCGTCCCAATCCCTTTCTTATACAAATTATTAACACTTTTCTCCACTGGCCTTCTTCTACCTCTGTCTACTATAACTACGTCTTACCGAGTCGCAGGCTCCTACGAATCGCTGCTGTATAATATTGGTACCGAGTGAGGACAAACGAGGTAGGTCGGTAGGTTGGTAGGTTGGTAGGTAGGTAGGTAGATAGGTAGGTTAGGTAGGTTAGGTAGGTTAGGTAGGTTAGGCAGGTTAGGCAGATTAGGCAGATTAGGCAGAATAGGTAGGTAGCTCCGTCCATACCGTTTACTCGAATTTTTTGCCTTTAGAGAAGGAAATTCGTATTGTCGAAAGATGTACTCCTACTACTACCACTCCTCCTCAATCCTTCTCCTCCTCCACCTCCGCCGATTCACGCATGTATAAAAAAAGCACGAGAGCGCAAGCAAGAATGTCGCATTCTCACGGCTCGGCGCTTTTATGCAAATTGGCCGTCAAACTCGCAGTTTCGCGCGCCTCTCGTGCCCCACGGCCTCTGCCTGTGTATGTTTGACTTAGGAGTCGCGAAATGAATCGCTCGCCGTGGCTTCTAAATGCATTTAGTCAGCCACGTGTACACGCACATAGGTACTACTTCTTCCTCTTCTCTCTCTCTCTGTCTGTCTGTCTCTCTCTCTCTCTCTCTCTCTCTCTCTCTCTCTCTCTTTTCATTCTTGCCGGAATGTTATTTGTGCGAGCTGATGCAACGTTTTTCTAATTCTCGGACTGCGCGTACATCTCCTTCTTCCTCTCACCCCTTCCTCCTTCAGAAGTAACGACATTACAGCGTGACGAATGCCATTATTCAAAAGTATGCGGATGGACATGTGGTAGTGTATGTCTTTCCTAGGTAAATATATCGACATTTTTTATGCGAAAGAACGTCCTCTCCTCGGCAATGCAATAAAACTGCGATGTCGATCATACGAAGGAATTCGTGCAATATCGGAGAGGACACTATGACACATCACAGGCAGATAATACATGAATGTAATAATATGCCAATAAAGAAGAAAAACAAATTTTTTAATGGGGGAACAGAAATAGATAGATAGATACAGAGAGAGAGAGAGAGAGAGAGAGATAGAGAGAGAGAGAATTTATCACGTCTCTAAAACGCATTTGTTATATGGAAAATAACTTTTCTTTGTTTTCCACTTTCTTCCCTTTTACTTCTCTCCTCCGCACTCCCGCCTCCTCGCTCCAGTTTTTCTTTTACATAAAGAATGGCATTGCGCTGTATGAAGATAAATTTGACATTTTTAATACAGAATGACGACGGTAAGGAGGCAGCTCGAGTGGTCAAATAAATTTCGCGCATTTGTTGCTTATGATCCAAGACAATCTCCTGATTTCTCATGCTTTATAAACTCTGAAACTAACGAATGAATTGCAATATCAATCGATATCTCATTTATTTACTTAATCAGATTATATATACCTTCCTCGGAATATCTGTCCTCTATAATGATTTTTTATTTTCTTACTCGTGAAGGCGATAAATCCGGTAAGCTCTTATGTGGCGTGAATATGTCGAGCTTGTAAAGGAATCGGAATAAGCCAAGCGGGTGTGTAAATAATTCATTCCGATGTGGCGATCGATATAAAAGAATATTTATTTTTGATAATGGGTACGGTAGTAGTTTCAGATAAGACGTCTGACAAATAGTTTTTCTACAATTACAATGTATTCTCGCGTCGCATACGAGCCATCGTATTTACCTAAACGGAACAGAAATACTTTTTTATTCGTGGATGAAGAGGGTGGCCGGCCGTCTTCGGGAGCTGCGCGTGGGAAGGGGGCCACACGGAGAGCGAACGAATCGTGGATAATGGAGGGTGGGATGGATAGAGTCCCCGGGCGCAAATGACCCGCTTAGATAATAGTAGGCCTGATGAAGCGGTAGATCGGTCGAGCGAGCTCGCCGGCAAAAAGTGAGCGACACACGCGCGCGCACACACGCACGCACGCACAGAGAGAGAGAGAGAGAGAGAGAGAGAGAGAGAGAGAGAGAGCCCTCGACTCCGGGGTTCACGGGCTGCAAACTGATAAATAAAATACAACTCACCTCCAGACTTTGCCGAGGGTCTTGGAGAGCTCGGCGTTGTGCAGCTGGGGATACTGTCCGGCCAACCTCTTCCTCGCGGCCTGGGCCCACACCATGAACGCGTTCATCGGCCTCTTCACGTGGGCCACTCTTTTGTCATTGGGTCCCCTGCGAATAGGCGAGAAATTATCTTCATTGGCGATTAATGCCAGACTCGGCTGTAGGATAATTCCTTAGCCGGGAGAAAGTCGGTCGCAGGAGCCATTGTTTTTTCTTCCCGGACGCCGCTCAAGACGCGAGCCGTTCGCTCTCCTTCGTTGGCTTGAGGCCGGGCGAGTGCGCGCGCGCACTCATTTGTTCCGACACGAGATTTATAGATTTATCGCCTGACCGTGTATTATAGATTATGCAAGAATCATTTTTACTTTCGATCCTTCTCCCGCTCCTTCTCCAGCTCCTTTTCTCTCCGACCGGCAATTTGTTAATTGATTCGGATGATGGATTGTTTCCACACGATGATACGCGTAGTTTATGTTTCTACGGCCCGTCCATTTAAACTCGTGTTTCTCATTATTTTATTGTTTCCTCCATTATTTTCTTCGTCTGCCGCTCTTACTCGTCTCTCTTTCTCCAAAACTTTACGAAGGATTATAGAATGTCCGGCTCGATAGACAACATGTCAACTCGTCCACATGTACGACGTCCGCTTTTAAATTAGTAGTAATAGTAGTAGTAGTAGTAGTAGTAGTAGTAGTAGTAGTAGTAGTAGTAGCAATAGTAGCGCAGGTGATTTTTTATCATTGTGAAATTATAATTGGGTGACGAATCAGCGAAACTTTTTCTCTCGTGGTACTACGTATTTGCTCAGTTTATATAAAATAACGTTCCATTTGCGTTTGTTTGGCCAGATAACTTTACGAAAGTAAGTTACTCGTAATGAAAGAAAAACGTGACTTCACCGTACGGATGCATAAAGAGACAAAAGCACAAGTACGAAAATCGAGATTTGGTAGTAAAGCAAACTAATCGATCAATCGTTTAGTAATAGATGATCGTTTGAAAAGTGGATTTTTTTACTTTCTAGTTTAATGGATAGTCTATGTGGGGTGAAAAAGATAAAGGAAGCGATCGAGAGCGCGGCAGGAAGCTCAAAATGCTTGAGATTCGCGATTATATGACTGTATTGGCAATAAAGACCTAATAAATTACATTGGACTGGAGGTCGTGGACGACGAGACAGGCCCAATGTTTTCACTTCCGAAATGCATAAACTCTCACGAGCGTAACCTGTAAATACACAAATATGAAGGACCTCGGTCCCTCGGGCATGCAACAGGTAGTGCAACGGTGTGCTCTCGAACGATGATAAAGTAAAAGTCGGCGCGGCCCAATAACCCGGGTAGAATGGTGCCTGGGTGATGGGTTGGAGGAGGAGGAGGAGGAGGAGGAGGGGGGGGCGGGAGACGATACACCAATGTCATTCGTTACCGTGTGCGTGACGCGCCAGAATCCGAGAGAGAAAAGTATCTGATTTTCAAGAGCTACTAAGCCGCTACCCCGAGCGCCTCGAGAGTGGCGGCACCGAGCTTAAAATAATACTGGCGCGTCGCTGTATCCGTTTCTCCATTATTTTTCGCTAGATGACTCCTTAAAACTTCTCCCCTTAACTGACACGTGAAGCCGACTCGCGATTCTGGAGTGGATCTCTCCGTCTCCGCTTCCACGACTGTTTTTCTAGCGCGTAACGCGAAGGCGGACACTTGACACGGGGAGACCGATTGGGTGACGTACCGCAGAGAAAGGGGGCTAACAAGGGGATGGGGTTGGGGTTATCGGATCGTGGTTGGGGCTGAGTCGATAATTGGCGACGGTCTTTCCTCGCCCTGTGCCAGCCATTGTCACTGGAAATTACGGGCGTGCCAGAGATGAATTGTAGACTAAATTATAAACTTTATTAAATTACGTATTCGAATCGCCTCGTATACGCTGCATCGCCAATATTTTTCTCTTTTTTGTTTTTGTATTGAAAAGATTAAAATAGTATGAAATATTAAGAGGTCGCGATGACGTTAAAATATAAACAAGGCGAGATTTTTTTAAATTTTTTATAACGAGCATTTATTTTTATTGCGTAGATTAGATTGCGTTAATTTTCAGTTTTATTACTGTAGCATTACGTTATATCTACATTTTAAAAAATCAATAGGACATTCATTATAAAAATAACGAATATTGGATTGGCAAAGCCGTTACTGAAAACAGAGTTTGAAAATGTTTTTTCACGTTAAAAACATTGAAAATTTGAATTATCGAAGGTTCTTTTTTTTTCTTTTTTTTTTTTTGTTAATTCGATTCGTCGATTCTCAGCTGATATTTAGCGGCAAAATGATTGATGTTTCAGTTGTTGTTGATGTTGTTGTTGTTGTTGTTGTTGTTGTTGTTGTTGTTGTTGTTATTATTATTATTACTATTATTGTTATTATTATTATTATTATTATTATTATTATTATTATTATTATTGTTATCGTTATTGTTATTAATTTTCATTTCTAATAAAAACATGATAAATTTGTGCACATGTTAGAAATGTTGATAGGTTGAAAAATTTTGTTGACTAATCAATGCTTAATTTATGTCTATCCTTATCAGAATACAAAACAATAATCACTCGAGATTATCAGCAATGCTTTACAATGAATGAAAGATTATATTTAACATTTGATATTAATTAACGTTCGATAAGTTAAATTTTGATTAATTAGATAAGTAATCGGCAATCGAGAGGGATTATAAATAATATTTACTTATCATCTTGGCGTTCGGATTATTTATTCCTCTTGGTGAACGCCAACGAGAGAATTTATCATTTTAATAAATGTATACAATTATAGCTTGTTGAAAGAAAGTGGAGGTTAAAACGAGTAAATATAACGGACTGAGTATTCAATTTGAGATATCTAGTCACTCGATAAACATATAAACCGTATAAATTACGCTAATTTTAGTCGAATTATTTTACAGCTTAAAACGCAATTTGTATAAAAAAATCAATGATTTACTAATAATGGCGTCCGCTATTGAATGTGTTTTGTGTGTTTGTGCGTGCGCGTGAATGCGCGTGCGTGTTGGAGAGAGAGAGAGAGAGAGAGAGAGAGAGGGGGAGAGAGAGAGAGAGAGAGAGAGCGCGTACTTGTATACATTACAAACACAAAAGTTTACTCCATTACTTTACTCGAGTGGAACAACAAATAAACCACCTAGTCACGTTCTTTAAGTGATTCATAATATTATGAAGTTCAAAAAATCCCAACGGCTTTGTTTAAAAAATGATTCAATCTCAACGCGCATATACAATTTCTAAGGAAATTATCTTTGCTGTAAAATACAATGCTATGGAGAGCTTTTGACACCGAGTTTCGGCATCTTATCGCGCTATTGGACATATAAAGTGAGCGCACCAAAAAACATCTTTTTGACTTTCTTGTTGAGAAACGTCGAGGAGGGTGGGCCGTGAATTTTGTGTAGTGCCCGGGGTAGAAGTGGTGGATTGGGGATCGGCGGGGGGTGTTGAGAGGGAGTGGAATCGGGGAGGGGGCTGTAAAGTGACGATAAGGTAACAACGTCGTCGCCATGCATCGTGTGATTTTTCCACACCCCCGTTTCCCATTGACATACTTATGCACTTACGAGTGCATTAGAATTTAACGCGTTAGATAATGGAGAGTAAATATTGACGCAGAATATACTCAATGTAGAGCTGTAATGATATTTATTTAAACACTCGTGGGCAAATGTTGTATAGTACAGGAGCCGTGTGTTTGCTAATACGAAATACAAAAGTAATTTAAATAATCGAATAGTTGCAATATGTTTTTGGAGACTATAGCGGCAGTAGTAGTAGTAGTAGTAGTAGTAGTAGTAGTAGTAGTAGTAGTAGTGATGCATTAGCATTGGATGAGAAATTATGAGAGCCTCCTACGAAGAAAATAGAAATTTGTTGATTATGGTTGATTATAACGATTGCCCGAGATGAAATTATTATGATAGTTATCTCGCTAATAAATCTCGCTAATAAAGGGGAGGCATAGCATTAGTTATTATTTAAATATTTTCCAGGGAAAGTAAGTGATCTTGCGACAGTACATTGAAAATGCAGAGTATGATATTTAAGGTTATATAATAACTCCATTCTAGTAAATTCTATTAGCCTTTTTGTAATTGTAAGAAAAAGCGAATGCTGTATTTATGGTCAAAAACATAAATATTATTAGTAAAGTGTGTCTATGAATCATATTTTATTAGGGTTCGGTATCGTATTTCACATGAAAATATAAAAAAAGGCTCTAAATGCACGTTGGTGAAAAATGCCCATTGATAGGGAGTAGTAACATTTCTCCTTAACGTATTTATAGTTCCGAATACTGTAATGCAATACGCGAGGAAAAATCAGTAGTGGGATCATCAGCGAGTAAAAAAGCGTAATTCGGGGAAGCAGAAAAATCGTTAGGCGCTCGAACTTTCTCATCGTCGAGCGAATCCGTGATTTGCACTTACAGGCGTATCGGCCATTAATTAGCTAATTTGCGTTAATTGACGGCCGAGGACGTATTTTCCGTTGGCGAGTTTCCCATGCCTGGGGAAACGAGCGCGTCATAATTGAGTTAGCGCGCATTTTTCTCGTTTATCGAAGAGTCCGCGGAGAGAGAAAATAAAAAGCAAAATAGAAAATCAAAAACGAGGAATTCGCTCCTTCCTCGCTGTCGTCCCTGTCCCCTCCTCTGCTCATATCTAGGGTGCGAGCTCATCCCCCGCGTGAACTGTTGGTGGATAATCCCACCTTCGTAGCACTACAACGCGCATGTGCGTACTCGGCACGTTTCTCCCACTGAATCGAACATTTTGCATTTTTCGCATCTTGCTTTCCGTTAACGACGAAGCACCTCTCTCTCTCTCTCTCTCTCTCTCTCTCTCTCTCTCTCTCTCTCTCTCTATCTCTATCTCTCTCTGTCTCTCTCTCTATCTCTCTCTGTCTCTCTATCTCTATCTATCTCTATCTCTCTCTATTATTCTTTTTTCTTTTACTTTTGACTTTTACCGCTGATTTTCGCGGTCTCAAACAACCCCTCCTTCGCCACCAAACGTATTGCCGTTGGCGCGCGTCGTATTTATTTATATGGATAATATGTCAATTTCCTACATACAGCAATAGACGAGGAAATTAGAGATCACAGTTTATTTTCAATGTGTTTAATGCGATAAGATGCACGGTATACTCGTCGAGGATAAAAACAAAAGGAAAAAAAAAAGAAGAAAAAAAAATGTTTTTAGTACTTCGTAGAAGAAGCGGTTCTGCCTGGCGGAGTGATAGTTGTGAAATGGCTTTTTTTCATGCAAAAAAAAAAAGAAAAAAGGAAAATAGAAAAAGGCAAAAAGGAAAGAAAGATGAAGAAAAAAAAAGAAGCAAAACTACTGGCAGGGCACACGACGCCCATTTTCTCCATCGTTGTCATTGCCTTGTGACATTTGGACTTAACAGCCGATGGGCGCACATTGAGACAACCTGGACGAGATCCAAAACTTCAAAGAACTGCCAGCCAGCCAAAGCTTTCCACCATCATTTCCATCATCCGCTGGCTGTGAATGGCGTGCGAATGCCGTTGGGCAGAAGATGAAAAACTAATGAAAAAAGATTCTGCACGGCGTACGCGCAATGAGAAGCGAAGAAGGCTGCACCAATTGCGTATATCAGCTGAGCGAATGAGTAATAATTTTCTTGAGAAGGAGATATCTCGCTGGTGAGCAGCCGCGATAATTGGATTTTCGTGAAGAGGAAAACGTGGTGGATAGTGATGGCGGTGATGGTGATGGTATCGGTCACGGTTACGGTCACGGTATCGGTATCGGTATCGGTATCGGTATCGGTATCGGTATCGGTATCGGTACCCGTGTCGGTGGTCGTGCTTTGGGAATCGGTTACGCTCCGCCAAGGTCTCTCGCGCGGAGAGTCGGATGAGAACGAGAGGGAGTGAGAAGAAGAACGGGCAACATCGGACGCGACACCGTACTTACTTGATGGCGACGGACTCGAGCGCGAGGTTGTAGCCCTGCAAAACCTTGGTGACGACGGCGCTGATACCCTCGCCCCCATTGGCTCCCTCGCCATTGTTGTTGTTGTTATTGGTGGCACTCGCGATGGCGTTGTTGTTGTTGTTGTTGTTGTTGTTGTTATTATTATTATTATTACTATTATTATTGTTGTTGTTGTTGTTGTTGTTGTTGTTGTTGTTGTTGTTAATGCTGCTGATGTTGTTGTTATTGTTATTGTTATTGTTGCTACCGCCGCTGCAGTTGCTGCTGCTACTGCTGCCGCCGCCGCTGCTGCTACTGCTGCCGCAGCTGTTACTGTTGCTGTTGACGCCAGCGCCGAGAGCGAGGTGGTGAGCCGGGGTCGCGGGCGTCTTGACAGATTCGTCCGCCGTCGCACTCATCGTCGCTCGATCAGTAATAGTGTCCCTGAGTCGGCACTCCGCGCTATCGTCGACGGCGGCGCGACATCGCCTTATCGAGACCGGCGTCCCGGGCGCATTCCCCGCGCGCGTGCCACACACGACTCAATAGCGCGCGAGATGAGAGAGCGAGGGAGATCAATCGCAAAGGCGACAGCGCGACTGCCAGCTAGATATATATATATATATATATATATATATATATATATATATATATATATATATATATATATATATATAGACAGAGAGAGAGAGAGAGAGAGAGAGAGAGAGAGAGAGAGAGAGAGAGAGAGACAGAGACAGAGTGTGTGAGAGGACAGAGGGAGGGTCCGAAACGATATGGTGCGACGATCCGCGCGATCGAGCCACGAGTGAGGTGGTCGAGCTCCGGTCGTCCCGGGGCTGCCGCCACTGGCTCCCGGCTCCCGGGCCTCGGGGGCGGGGCAAAGACGGCGCGCGCACTTGTTGCCGCAAGGGGGAGACTACACGAGGATCCTCTTTAGAGAGACAGAGCGAGATATATAGATAGATAGATAGATAGGTAGATAGATAGATAGATATTTAGAGAGAGAGAGGGTGAGCAGTAGAGTGAGAGAGAGAGAGAGCACTAGTGGGGGGGGGGAGATGATTTGGTCGGGTTGCGATGAGACGAGGATCGAGTCGGGCAAACCCTTGCTTGGAAGACCAATTAATTACTTTCGATGACAACTAGCGATGGGCGTCCAGTATTTTATCATAAAAGCGGATTCCGTTTTGCTTCTTCCGCTAATGGGTTAATAAGCTGATGAGCAGAATCAACATTTATTATTTTACTCAAATACACTTAGATTCCATTAAGGAGAATAATTTATTTCGTTCGCACATTTCTCCTACAATTGCATTTATATTTGTATTTGTTGTTTGTCGATCGTAGTTGCTTGCTTGCACCAAAGTATAGGTAAAATTTGTATATATATATATATATATATATATATATATGTGTGTATACTTTTGAATTTCGTTTGATTTTTCGTTTGAATTGAAAATACGTAGAATTTCGAAATTGCATGGGACGTTAAAGCACATTGCACGTCCAAGCGATAAAAATATACATACTTTCGAGATTTATTTATTTTCTTTTATCGGCCAAATACGGTTTTTTCCATCCAATTGAGATTGTAGATAATTTCCAACGATTAATCCCACAGATTTCATTTGCCTTTAAATTAATTTTTATGCTTTGTTTTTTTTTTATTATTCTTTTTTTTTTTATAGTATACATGTATCGTGAGCGAAGACAAATTAATAACATTGAAGTTAATTTTCTTCCTTTCACTATTATTTCGTTTCTTTTAATTTCTCACATATTTACACGAATCTTTATGATTATAATGAATCTTATAAGGCGACGTACATTTACATGAGCTAAAATTATTTTTACTACTGAATTTCTACTAATCTGTTTATCATATTGTGTCATCGCAAAATTCCTTCTTTTTTTTTCTAACGCTGTGTGCCTAGCGACGTGTATGCATTTATCATTTCCAAACCGTTAATCAACAAAATAAATAAGTTTTCTATTAAAGTACATTTTTAATGACTCAATCTACTCGATCATCTTTATAAAAATGACTGATTAAAGCGTTTACTTGGGTAATATGTTTTAACATTACTCATTAACCATTGCTTTACCTATTATCAATTCGTTGCCAATATTCAACCGTAATTTAATATAAGATAATCGATCGTCCGAGCTTGTTACATCGGAGCTATTGAATTTACCGTAATCGATAATTGGAGCTGAGTTTCATATGATAATTGTTGGCGCGTGGATTAGTCGAGCGAGGAGCTTCTTTAGCGTGACATTCCTCGATTGGTCGAGCAAGGATATTCGTGCCCAGCGATAATCGCAACCTAATTCGACAATTTGGAGAAAGGGAAAGTGAGAGAGTGAGAGAGAGAGAGAGAGAGAGAGAGAGAGCAACCATAATCGATGACAAGCGGCCACGAATTAACGAGTAAGTTCATCGTTCACCAATTAGGATGCGACACCTCATTTTCGAGCTTTCGATCCACTTAATCTCAGGTGGCTTCCTTTGCCTCCTAAGCGTGGGTGGCCTCGATCTGAGCTACAGTGTGAAATTTCTCAATGTCGAGTTCCCTAAGCATGGGGTTACGTTTGAATTGTCCAAGGCGTCGGTCACCACTCGTCGTTAAATTATATGTACATACGAGGAACAGCGAGCAACTGTTTCGTACGCTCGTACAACGCCTGGAAATAAATAGGTTAATCGCAAATTCTTAAACAAACTCAGCCCCAAAAGCCCGTCTAACCCTGGAAATAATCTTAAAAAGTAAAAATAATTATAATTGAAATATCTCTCGAGTGCCATTACTCATCGTAAAAGTGAGTCATGTGGAGTCGAGCATTCGTACTTTTAGGCTACGTAGGGACGTTGAAAGAAAAAAAAGCCAAAGGTAAACATTCCCGCCAAGAGGAATATGTCTCTGTAATTCGACACGAGCTGGTCAAAATCGTCGGGCAGGTCTCGCAGTTACGTTTTTCACGAGTCGCGAGTGCGCTTAGAGAGTAATCCGAGTGAAATAATAATCCACAAAACAAATATCTGGGTTTCGTCGAGGGAGCTGCCGCCGCCGTCACTGCTGCCTCCGCCACCACCGCAGACCGCCCCGGGCTCCGAGAAAAGCAAAAATTCCCTTGTAACAAGATTGAGATCGGCCCTCGGTTCCTTGTTCTTCCTCTCTTCATTTTGTTCTAAACAAATAATAATCGTCCCCGATGGGGGCCCGTCGAAGATGTTTTGGAGCCGAAAAGCGCGCTGGTGTCGCCGACTGCCCGGGCACGTGCGCTCCTTCGCGGTATTAATTTAGTTATCTGTCCGCTAGATTTTTTGCCTCTCTGCCAGTCGGGGCGGGTGTTACCATGGCTACGCGCGGGGGGAGGATGTACCTCCCCGTCGCTCCACCCACTCGGTCGGCATCCCCCTCCTGGACCCCCGCGCCCATTGGACATTGGCGAGGTGAGGCGGGCGTGGATTGGCAGCGGCGGCGGCGGCGGCGGCGGCGGCGGCGGCGGCGGCGGCGGTGGCGTTGGTGGCGGCGGCGGTGGCGGTGGCGGTGACAGAGGCAGTGGTAGTGGCGGTGGTGGTGGCGGCCGTGATGACGACGACTGGAGCGGGGGAAGAGGTGGTGGCGACGCTGCCCCGAGACAACTCGACTCGATACCGCGTGTAGGAGTTTGTGAATGAGGATCGCCCTCGTCACCATCTTCGGCTTCCGCACCAAAGCTCGACAAGGTTCCTTCTTTTGCCGCGAAAGCTTCGGGCGCGCGTATACCCCCCCCCCCTTTTCCCCACCATCAACCCCAAATCCCCCACTTCAACGGTCGCGCCCAACCTCACCCCATCCTGCCTTTATCGCGGACCTTTTTTGCTCTTGAGGTGCCTCTTGAGGTGCCCAGTGACAATGAATTAAAATAGATAAAGATGTTGGGAACCTTCGTGGCACGTAGGAGAGAAAGATCGAAACATAATAGGATCGTCCTTTTGTTTCTGATTTTATTTCTAATGTTTTTACATGTTATATCGGTGGATTGACATTCGAATTTTCAGTTGTATTTCATATTTTACGGGAATAAATAAATGGAAGATCATATGGCAAAAATTTTTCTACCAAGTTGTTAAATCTACGAAACAATGTTCGAATGTTCTCACCACCTTTTCTTACATGTTACGTTATTACATTTAAACGAGTTGTTGAGCAAATTTTAAAAGCAACTTTTTTGTATTTTGCCGTAAATAGCTGGAAAATATGCTACTTATTAACATATTCGTGTTCGTATGCATAACTATTAATTGCATTTCATATTATAATAAAATCATTATCAATAAGTGCAGTTAGTGGAAAAATAAGTTTTATGTACTACTATTATCGTACTACTACTAATAATTAGCAGAAAATTAAAATTATTAGGAATTATGAGAATTGAAATTTGGAAGAAAATATCCACTTGTAGGTGCTTATGAATTTGAATTTGACGAAACTGAATTTGGAAATTTGAACGGGAATTTTGGAACTCATACTCGATGAATAATCTTTAAAGAAATTTAAATTTATAAAGCTGCATAATATAAACTGATATAATTGAAATATTTATTTTTTGTCTGCATTTTATCTTATGTTTTCATGTTGTTTTTAATTTTGATTGCAAAGTCTCGTTAATAAAGACTACTTCACTGTTTGTCGTAATTTGTAGCCATTTTGACATATTGTATTTTCAACAAATTCGTTCTGAATTTCATTTTAAATGCATGCGTGTAAATTAAGGATAATTGACATTGAATGGAAATAGCTTTTATAAATGACTTTTATATCGAAGATTAATTTAAATGCCAAATTTCGTTACTTTATTGAGCGTGAATTACGATTGAATTTTCTGTTTACGACATTTGAAAGTGTCAGCATTTTAATAATTTATTATCACCTTGAAATAAATTTAATCTTCATAAGTACATTTGTAATAATTATAGTATTTGCGCGGCGCGGTCTTACATAATTCACTCTGAAAGTCGTCGCAGACGGAATGAGAAAAAATATCGCGAATAAATACAGAAGTGCATTCTTACAAGAAAGCCCATTCTTATATAACATTGTTACAATTTCTATTTTAACAAGGGTAAAGCGAGCTCAGCCCGTGAACATTAAAATTTTCGTCAAATTA